AAGGAGAGCTACTCCATCTACGTGTACAAGGTGCTGAAGCAGGTGCACCCGGACACGGGCATCTCGTCCAAGGCCATGGGCATCATGAACTCCTTCGTGAACGACATCTTCGAGCGCATCGCCGGCGAGGCGTCGCGCCTGGCGCACTACAACAAGCGCTCCACCATCACGTCGCGGGAGATCCAGACGGCCGTGCGGCTGCTGCTGCCCGGCGAGTTGGCCAAGCACGCCGTCTCCGAGGGCACCAAGGCTGTCACCAAGTACACCAGCTCCAAGTAGAGCGTCCTGGACCGTCTATTTTAACCCAAAGGCTCTTTTAAGAGCCACCCACTTTTTCACTGGAAGGGCTGTAGGATCTCTGAGGAGAAAGAAAATACATATATATGGAAAGTTTTCATGTGGTCATTTTGCAGTCTATTTACTAAAATGAAATAATCTTGTGATTAGAAATAGAATGATCATTTCAGACTGTAATGATTAGTTCAGAATGATTAGTTCAGACATAACTTACTGTTTTATACTTTTTTACCACAGGAACTGCAAGCCTAGGTCAAACTAAACTCAGCATCCAATTATACATCTCCTGAACAGTTCAGTATTGAATGCATGCATATGCATTCCATATACTTGGTATCAGAAATTTCCTGTCATTTTATGGCTTTATCCTATTTTATGTTTGCATTGTTTACATATGTGGTACCTTATATCTCAGTTAATACACCTGTGTTTCAATATTTTTGTTTTGCTTAAGTAACAGAGAAAGGAAGAAAAAAAATAGAAATTTTAGGTCTCTAAGAAAGAATGTGAATATTTTTTCCTGCAAAGTTAGAGTAACACAATGTCTACTACTTAAGGATGTCTTAATCTTCCATATTTTCTACAGCAGTGATAAAGCAAGGGACCAAAAATGCTCTGTACTGTAAAACTAATTCTGAACTGTACAAAGTTACATTTTTTTCTCACCTGTTACTGAAGGGAATGAATACAACACATCACTCAATATTTGACAAGCATGTAGTAATCCATGTAGCACAGAAGTCTTTATTTAAAGTATCCTCTTGTCTTTAGAAATATTTTTTTGTAATTGTATTTATGATGTGGCTTTTAAGGTATTTTTTTCTATGAGAAAATTTTCTCTTTAAATGAATCAGAAAACTGAGCTAGTGAATGTCCTTTTATCTCAGTCTGTATTGCTAAGCCCTGCCCTGGAGACCAGAAACGAAGACTGATGGGCGACAGATTTTCCTTTTGGTGGAGGTGGTTTGCATTAGGGATCTCAATAAATCAGACAAGAACAAGTCCATAGGCCCCTGTGGGGCATGAGATACATCCCAAAGTGTTGAGGTAGCTGGCTGATATTACTGCAAGGCTACTCTCAATCATCCTTGAAAGGTCATAGTAAGCAGGAAAGGTGCCCGGGAACTGGAAGAAAGCAAGTGTAATTTCAGTTTTGCAAAAGGGCAAGAATAGGTACCAGGGAACTACAAGCCTAGTCACCATGACCTCAATCCCTGGCAAGGTGATGGAGTCCCCCATAACATCCTTATAGGCAAGTTGATGAAGTATGGCCTGCGTGAGCAGACAGTGAGGTGGATTGAAAACTGCATGCCAGTAGCTAGCAATATACACCAAAGGGTCAATAGTGGGTCCAAACTTTTTCAACTTATTATTCAGTAACCTGAATGAAGGAACAGAGTGTACCCTCAGCAAGTCTGTCGATGATAGGTAACTGGGAGGAATGGGTGATGCACCAACTGGTTGTGCTGCCATTTAGAGGCAGACTTCAACAGGTTGCAGAAATGGACAAATAGGAGCCTTATCAAGTAGATAATTTTGAGAGGTCCTTTTCAGCCTCAGCCATTCTGTGATTCCTTCCTAAGACTGCTTTATGAATATTCACTTCTTCAGTGAATCTTCAAATTGTAGATTATGATTATTTAGGATTATTTTATATCTACCTACCATTTCTTTTGTTTGTAATTGATTAATTGTATTAAAAATATATTTTTAAAAATGACTCACTACAGGGCTAGTTTATTAAACATGTAGTTAAGCTAATCAGTCCTGATATCCTTCAGCTTGAAATGTTAGATTTCTGAATCTCTGTAGCTCATATAACTGAATACTGCTGCAGACACAAATCTGAGTCATTATCAACTTCTTTCAAACTGAATTTGTGTTGCATCAGATGGATCCTTTACTCCAATCATACCTTGCAGCCTCAGCCACACATTTGATTCCTGTAAAAGTTCCAAAAAACAACCATGTAAAATGACTTTTCTAGAACTAGTTGCATGCTGTTTAGTAGTAGTGGCATAGAAGCTGGTATTAAGCCTCTATCACACCATCCACTGGTTCACCAAAGTTCATTTCAGTTCATATCAGTTCAAGGCTGATATTTATATCAGATAAGGCTGACAGGGATGTCTCAGACTTCAGACATTCGGCAGTAGGAGGTATCCTTCACACTTTCTATTCTCCTGAAGCTTCAGATTGAATTCAGTGATCAGCTCAAATGGAAACTATGCTTTAGAGTTTGTATTCTGAGCCTCTCCACCTGTCCAGTACATAAGAAAGTGACAAAAATGTGATTTATTACATCCTCCAGGTTTTTGTATAATGGGGTGTACAAGTGGCCAGAAATGGAATCTAGAAAATATCATAAAATCAAATGACAGAATATTCTTCTACCTATCATGCCATTAATATTCTTTACAATTCCATTCAATCTTCTTCAAGCTGCTCCACAAAGAATACATCGGCCAGTAGTAGGAAGGTGGCACAGTATTTGGAAACATCATATGGGAAGTGCTGCAATATATTATCTTTAAACAGGCTTTTTGTACTGTATTTTATCAGCTGATTATGCCTATTCTTCCACAATTTCTGGAATATAGAATGTATTTATTAATGGCTATACTATTTATTTTTAATGTCTTTTAGTATATCATACGCTAAGAATTATGTTACAGTCTAGCCCTGCACTGCATTGCCATCCATAAAGAATACTGGAAAACCGCCGAAACCATTTGAAAAATACTGTTCAGTATTTTTTTTCTTTTTTTTTCTTTTTTTTTTTTTCTGTTTTAACTACTAACAGACTTACTGAGGCAGTTTTTGAAAAGACCATCTTCTCTAGATCAGGATTTCTGGAGTGTGATTTACACAGATATACAACAGCAGGTCAGTAAATCAGTGGGAAATTCAAAAACAAACAAATTGAAGGATCAGTGTCAAACACCTGATCCAGAAACAGAACAAAACAGTCACTGGTTGGAATGATTTTATGCTTTTCCCTGCCTTTTCTGAATAAATAAAAATCTGTCTGCTATCAACTACCTATCAACTCAAAGTACCTTTCCTAAAGTTCAGAGAAATTTTTTTACCATACAGTTCAAGTCGCTGACATATCTCAGTTTAGATGGTTTCTTAGAGTCTTCTCTTTTCAGTTTCACTAGAAAAGAGCACATTTTAAAATAATTATCAATAGGAGTAATAGGTATTAACTGTAACTACAGAAAAGGATCCACTTTGCTTATCTGGTCTTGTTTGCAGTCTAAATCCCTCAAACAACAATGAAAAAGTGACTACTCTGGATTTTAAAGTGAAAATGAAAATGGAGTGCTCAGCAGAGAATACAGCAACAGAAAGGCAAACACCCCCCCCCAAAAAAAAAAAAAGAGAGAGAGAGAAAAATCTGGTCCCCATTTTGTGCTTTAGCAGAACACAGAGCAGTTCAAGATGTGGCAAAAAATCTCTGTATGACTGTATGAGAGGGCAGGAGGTAGAAAGGAGTGGAGCTGGGAACACTGAGCGCCTCTTCTGTTGTCAGCACACAGATATACATTGATGGAAACAGCACGACACTGAGCAGGGGAGCTCAGTCCCTGGGTTTGCAGGGCCAGAGACTCCTTCTGCCATTGGAAGGGATCTCTGGATATCAGACAGAACATGCTCTTCTTCTTCTTCTTCTTCTTTTTTTTTTTTTCTTTTTTAAGGGAAAAGACTAAATCAATGTTTTACATAAAAATTAGTAGTGGTTATCTTCAACAGTCAGTTGAATGAATAAATTAATACATACTCAGAGATTTTATAGGATCGATATCTTTTACTTGACAAAGCATCTCCAGTCACCTAAATTAAATACATTTACTACCAAATCACTGTTAGTCATTATTGGATTTAATGATAACATGGTTTTCCCACACTGTGAAAAGAACCTGTTCAAAGTGGAAATCTGCATTTTAGAAACATTCTTCTGCTGTCACTAGAAAATGCAGACTGTTCAATTTTAAAAAAATCTGAAGAGGTCCAATGATAGTAAGCCCCCTTATGCACTTCAGTTTCAAATATGTGGTATGCCTTTCCCATGGAATAACTTATTTTTGAACAAATACATGAGATTTATCAAATAGGAATACTTATATACTAGCAAGACAGTAAGGCTAATAGTTTCCTTTCTGCAGAACTGTAAATCATGTATGGTATTGTCCTCTGTGATATTGCTTGCCTTCTTGTTTTGTTGCACGCGCATGGAGATGAACACAAGTTTCTACAAAATTTTCTCTTGAGAACATGACCAACTGAGAGCATTAGTGCCACCACTGAGACTGAGATCACAGAATCACCATTTCATTAAAATAATAATAACAACAAGCTGGAAGGGACCACTTCTCCAGCCGAGCCCTCTGCCCAAAGCAGGATCAACTTGAGTTGTCCTGTTAGATCTGTTTGCTAAAGGCCCTTTCCAGTCATGTTTTAGAAATATCCATGGGAGGATATGCCACAACTTCTTTAGGGTACTTTTTAAGGACTTAGCCATTGTCATGAGGAAATATTTTTCCCCTTTTATCTAGTCAGAATTTCCTTCGCTTGAAAGTGTCTTTTGCCTCTGACTCCCTCATCCCCATAACCCAGTCTTTCAGTAGTTGAACACTGTAGTAAGATTCCCCCACCCCTCACAGCCCTGTCTTCTCCAGGCTGAAGGGACCCATCTTCCCTAGCTGCTCCTGCACCAGGTGCCCCAGCTGCCTCTGCATCTTAAGGATCCCTGATGGATTTGCTGTAGGTTGTTGATATCTTTCTTGTGGGTTATATTCCCACAAAAATATTTGGATGTAATATTGCACAGATAGCATACATAGGAATAATATTTCCTCAACTTCCTACCTATGCTATTGTTAAGCAGCCTGATAGGTGGTTGATCTTAACCACTAGAACCCTTTCTGCAAAGCTGCTTTTTCTCCACTTGGCCCAGGCAGTCCTCTTGTATGGATTCTCCATCCAGGATGCAACATGTCTTTCACCCGGTGAAGTGTTTGCAGAAACCTAATTTTGAT